GACAGAGATTGAAGGCAGCCCTTTGAATTTGCTAAAATTTGACTGCAGGGTTCCTTCCGACCCCGTGCTAATTTTTAGCAGAGCAGGAAACATTAAAAATAACTATGAGAGAAGATTTCCCAACTCAGAAGGATTGTCCTCTTAATAATCTCTGGCTTTGTTTTCACTAGATGTTTTCCTCCCTTAAAATTTCTGTAACGCTGCTAGAACAAGCTCCTCCCTGCCGGCAGCAGAGGAAGGCGGAGGGCTGGTTAGCCAGGCTGGCACCTGGGCTTGCTCTGAGCAGGGGTAAGGGATGTACGGGGGAAATGCTGATTATTTATTGGGAGAGATTTTGTATAAGAATCAGAGCTTTCAAGCTCCACGTCTTCCCACTTTGGCAAACCTAAAACTGTTCCTAAGCCTTCGGCTGCTCTCAGCGGTGGGTGGATCTCACTTTTGCAACGAGGTGACATTTTGGTGCTACATTTGAAGACTTCTGAGCTTCTACTGTGAAACAAAACCAAAAAAAAGTGTTGAAATTTGTTTTAAAGTGTATCTGAATGCAGCCCCTTCCTCTGAAGCTGAAATGTTGCATAACCAAACCAAGGCATGACATAGCAACAAGTTCTGCTCAAGCCCTAGTGTCTTATCTGACTTGGGTCTGCATTCTCAGCATCATTGTATAAATATGTATCATTAAAGTATACCATAAAATATATATCATTATCTAAATAATGTCCTCACTAAGGCAATGCCAGTGGGGATACACCGTGGTTTGGGTCATTACACCCGCAGGAACACCGTGTGCTGCTCACATTACTGTTTGTGAGGGGTAAAACCAAGGTGAGTAATTGCAATTACTGCTCACCCCTGCTCCATGTCGCCAGCTCTTCCCACCCTGGCAACCTGAGGGCTCCAGCCGGATGTTCCGGATATGTTTTCTGTATCAAACTGATAGCAATGTTTCCTCTTTTCCCTTCCATCGTGGAGGATGCTTGGCAGAGCCACGTTGACCTGGCACCAAACACAGGCAGTCCTTACTGGTGCATGGTCAGAAAATGAGGTCCAAGTTGATTACATCTAGGAGTGGGCTCTGATATCCACCAAACGATGTTGGCTGGGACCACATCAGTGTTGTCTTCTGCGGTGCACCTGGGATCCATGGGTTTTGTCCTGCTTGGCCAGTGCAGTGATGGTTTTGGTCAGAACCATGTTTCGAGGGAAGCTGATGGAATTTTCTCTACCTTGTCTTAAAGCATCAGGTTTGTCCTAGGCAGAAAGTTCACCTCCTCTCAATGTAGTGAGTGTTTAATTATGTGAGGTGGAATCACTGTGGGGGGGACTGGGAACAAAAGGCCTGTAATCAAGAGTGGGCAGAGGCATCAGTGAAATTTATCCCTGGGCAAAAAGCACAGCATGAACCCACTGCGATGCTTTCTCTTGGGCCCTGTAATGGGGTGTCCAGAAAACTCGCCTTTTCCTTATACTTTGTGCTGGTTGTTTAAGTGGGAGTCATTTTTTTCACCCCTCAAATGAAATGAAAATGAAAACGTCTGTAGAGATGGTTTTTGACTTGGATGGGTTACTTCTTGTCTTCCTGTTCCTTAGTTATCTAAAGATTCCTTCAACTTTAGTTAAAATGACATGGAGCAGAATTCAAATTAAAAGACAATGACTATCTCAATACAGGGGTGCTCCTGCTTCTCAAAGTTGCAGGCAATCAAGTAAGCAAGCCCAGATTTCAGATGCTCTCTCCTACTTTACACATGCATTCCTCCGGCTGCTCTCAGAAACTCTGCCTTTGCTCATGCAGGCGTTTGGCTGGGCAGGTAGAGCAGAGTCAATTAAATTTCCAGCCCAGACTAACAAAACATTTAAAAGTCTGAATTAGTCTTGTCCGTTCAGCAGCACGGCTGGCCAAGAGCCCTTTGAAAGCCTGATGGATATTGTTTCTCTCAAGCATTAAATGCTTCCCCTCAAACATCCTTTGAATAGGCCATTGTTTTTCCTTCTGGATGTCCCTTTGTGGACTGATACAAGAATAGCTAAAAGCTGATGAATTGGTATTGTAAATCTAAAAAAAAAAAAAAAAATTCTGGTAGTTCTACTCCTTTGAGAGGTCGAATGTGCTGCGAGTTCTCTGCTCGAGTCCCACCCGCATCTTGTCCTGTGAAGGTCAAAGAGCTGCATCGGGAACTTCAGGTGAACCATAGGAGATTGAGTGCTCCCTCAGTAAGTTTGCAGATGACACCAAGCTTGGCGGGAGTGTTGATCTGCTTGAGGGGTAGGAAGGCTCTGCAGAGGGATCTGGACAGGCTGGATCAATGGGCCAAGGCCAACTGTGTGAGGTTTAACAAGGCCAAGTGCCGGGTCCTGCACTTCAGTCACAACCACACCATGTAACGCTACAGGCTTCGGGAGGAGTGGCTGGAAAGCTGCCCGGCATAAAAGGACCTGGGGGTGTTGGTCAACAGCCAGCTGAACATGAGCCAGCAGTGTGCCCAGGTGGCCAAGAAGGCCAATGGCATCCTGGCTTGGATCAGGAATGGTGTGGCCAGCAGAAGGGAGGTGACCGTGCCCCTGTACTCAGCACTTGTGAGGCCTCACCTCAACTACTGTGTTCAGTTTTGGGCCCCTCACTGCAAGAAGGACATTGAGGGGCTGGAGTGTGTCCAGAGAAGGGCAACGACGCTGGTGAGGTGTCTGGAGAACAAGTCTGATGAGGAGCGGCCGAGGGAACTTCTTTACTGAAAGAGTGGTCAGGTATTGGAACAGGCTGCCCGGGGAGGGGGTGGAGTCCTCATCCCTGGAGGGTTTCAAAAACCGTGTGGATGTGGCACTTCAGGATATGGTTTAGTAGGCATGGTGGTGTTGGGTGGATGGTTGGACTTAATGATCTTGGAGGTTCTTTCCAACCTGTGATTCTGTGATTCAATGATCTCAAACAATCAGAGTTTCAGGAAAGATGCTTTGTGGGCCTGATGCCTTTCCCAGGTGTTATAAGGTAAGGAATCGAGGTGAGATTAAGTATGGAGGGGGCTTTAGGGGAAGAAGTAGTTTGGTTGATGGACGCAACTGCATTCATTTATGTTTTTCATTACGTTCCTTACGAGAAATAATACACATCATGTGAACAATATAACCTATGTATGGTCACTTGAGAAATCTTGTGTGTAAAGAAATTCCTGTGTATTTTCAGGTGAATATCTCTTGTACAGGTCCCTCAGCCTTTGTAACACAGGTACCGATGCCCTGCCTAGGATTCAGCTGCCTGGATTTACCTCTTTTTCCTAACAGAGCTCTGTGTCCCCCACGGTTTCATATTCCATGCCCCGTCACCACAGCCACTGCAGACTTGATTTGTTTCTTATCGATGGGCAGAGCTGTGAGCTGGAAGGGATGCTATTTTTAATGCAGCCATTGGGCTTCTCTTACACACCTTTCTCTTTTGCTCAATTTCACCATCATAGATCTAAGCTGAATTGAAAAGTTCACCCTAATATGTTCCCTAAGAAATATAAAAAATTTTGATACTTTATCATTGCGTTACACCATAGTCCAAGCTAAATTTGTTTCGGTAGGTCCTGCAGGTTTGTAGGGCTGCCAAGTGGGAAGATGTTCAGCCCAGCACGGCTGCAGTCGTGGGAGGGAGCAGGTGCTGATCCCAAGGTAGCATTTTGCAAGCTTAGCCCTTGAATTTGCAGTAGGCAGCAAGGAGAGCAAGGCTGCGTTGGGTTTGACAGCACTGCAGCTGCCAGCCGTGCTGGGTCAGGCTTTGCCGCGGGGACAGATCCCCCTCGGGAGCAGATCCTCACCCAGCGAAGCACATCAGCGCATGTTGGAAATTTGGGCGTCGAAGGAGGTGTCTGAGGGCTTTTCTGACTCACAACCGTCGTGCCGCATCTGCCAGAACAGTTTGTAGGGCTGAGCCTTCTTTGGGTTTAAATGAGAAAAGGTTTTAAGTTCTCAGGCAGCACATCGTGGATGGGTGGAAACGCAGTTCTTCTGGGATTTGCTGAAACTGTTGGGTTTTGAACGGCTTCTTTTCATCCCCAGGTGCCTGTGCGTCAGCTCCAGCTGACAGCAGGGGCAGCTTTGACTCGGTCCGTGGGCCCTAGAACATCTGTGCTTCCTCTCTCCACGTGGATCCTTTCTCAAAAGCAAGGTTTCCTATGGCCCAACACATTCAGTGGCTCCATGTTAATTAAAGGCTGCACGCCAGAAACGATGGGGAAATCATAGAATCATAGAATGGTGAGGGTTGGAAGGGACCTTAAAAATCATCTGGTTCCAACCCCCCTGCCATGAGCAGGGACATCTTCCACTAGACCAGGTATCATGTCGGTTTACCATGCGCTCCTGCGGCAACCCTGGAAAGGGGAGACCTGGGGTGACCAAGTGCTTGGTCCTGCAAATACAAGGGTGTTTCCAGCTTTGTATCGCTGCAGATGAGCAAAGCACGTAGGTATCAGCCTGCGGGGCAGGTTCACCCTTCCTTCCGCCATAGGAAGACACCCCTTCCCCTCAGTGAGATTTACCATTACGGACTGAGGGTGATGGCTGATCCCCACATCTTGGGTAAAATGGTAGAGTTTCAGCAAGTCCTTTTGCAAAAACAGATGGTTCCGATCCGAGGTTGATGTGAATCACTCCCGGGATCTGCTCAGTTTAACCCAGTCAGGCATGGTTTGCTGCTCCTCTTTTAGTCTTTGAGACCCTCAGGGAGTCCCGAGCGCTGTGCCAGAGCAGGGTCACCCTGTCCCTGTCACTAATTCTGTCGCTTCCTCTCACGCTCCTTCGTACTCTGCAAATTGTTTGATGCCTCTTACTGTACTTCTGTGAAACCTTCCTGCTGGATTGCATGGATGAAGGATTAGGTGTATAAGTACCGTAGCCAAAGATTGTGCTATACGTAAGTAGAGCCTCTTTCAGAGCATGACTGATATTGCTATGTTTGTAAATTGATTTATTATGATTATTTCTTTTTTAATAATACTGTCTTTTCCTTCCCTTTCCAGGGGCCTCTTGGTTTGGATGGCAAACCAGTAAGTAGCACCGAGGGCCAAATATAAATGTGTCTTTATTCATGCTGCTCTGCAATAGATAGGCAGAATCTCGGCTGTTACTCATTTATTACTACATATATAACAGTTTAGGAGACGAAATTGTATTTAGGAAAATTATTCTGTGGTCTGTAAGGCCAGCAAGTTTAAATTCTGAGCCAGGGCTGGCCAGCACAGCTAGAGATGAGCTTTTCTTTACCTGTCAGCTCAGCTCTGCTGCTTCTCCCCATCCTGCGCCAGCTCGGCTAGTGGAGACCATGCAGATGGGCGGCAGCCAAATTTGGGAAATAAACCCCGGCAGCACCTTGGAAGAAGCAAAGTCAGTAATCTTGGTTGCGTCCTCCTGGCAGTGCAAAATGGTATCATAAAAATAATTGTTCCCAAATTGGTTTTATTTGCCTCCAAAGGAGCCCAGGTGGGAAGTGCTTGAGAGTGCCCGATGTCCATGCAATACTTTATGGAACAGCCTAGACTTCCTTTTATTAACTGTTTGCTTGACTTCATTTATGCTTGGAAGCCCTTTGGATACTCAGGTGCTTCACTCTTTTCTTACTTCTTTTACAGAAATGCAGACTTTTTTATTTTTATGCTAGCTGAACGCTAGCCAGCTCCGATTCCTTCGGCTGGACGGTTGCTACGGGAGGTCACAGCTCTCTGTTTTGTGTCCAAATCCCACTCCATTCCACCACGCTCACTGGAGGGCACCGTCCGAAATCTTTCAAGCTCTGGTCCTAAACCAACTGTGATTTTCGAAGTGGGCAGAAGTCATTAAGTCATTGCAGTCAAAAAGTTACTCCAAATACTTATTTCTAGCCAGTTAGGGAGTGTTTTGTTATAGCTGTACATGGCTGTGGTTCGTTTTTATCCAGGGAAAATCTCGACGAAAAAACCAAACTTCTCAAATGGCCAAACTCCAACCAGGCTGTTCACGATCTCTTCCACGAGAGCAAAGGGCCATAAAGCCTTGCTTAGAGCCGAATTAGCAGCGGGAGGAATGCAGATGCTGCCGCTGTCGGCCTCTCTGCTGACCTTCTCCCACTGCATCCCACTGGGTCCCGCTTCGGCAAGTACCGGTAACTGGGCTGAACCCCAGGATTCAGTACTTTCTGTGCTGGAAGGAGGATGCGGAGCAGGCTGATCAGAGTGTTGCTCTGCAGCTTCTCTTTGGGGCTGCAGCGTGTCTCTGCCTGCCTGTCTTACCGAAAGCTGCTTAGAGGGAAGATGACTTATGCCTGCAGCAAATAGGCCAAGGGAAGCCGCCCATCCTCCTTGTTTATTTCAAACAGATGTATAATTGTTGTAATGATATGCTGAGCATGTGTTTTTCTAGAAGTGATTTAATACTTCAAGAAACCTCTTGCATCTATTTAGAGTCACGTGTTTGCGAGCGGCTGTCACGCTGCCTGCCCTGCCCTGTCCTTCTCCGGTCCTCTGTCCTGGCACGAGCAGGCAGGACCTCCTTGGCGCTGTTCAGTAGCATGCTGCTCACGTGAAGCAGCGTATGACTTGACATAGCACGTATAACTTATAATAACAGTGAACATGGCTCAGGTTTGTGAATTGACGAATGCAGTCGTCTTGGTTTTGATGTTGCATGCATTGACGATTCCGCTGTTTCCTAACTGGGATCCTTCTTATCTATTTCCAGGGACCTCCAGGACCAAAAGGGGAGAAGGTAAAGACTGCATTAACGCATGGCTTTTAGGGAAGCAGCTGTATGTCTTCCTTCCGCTGTAATTCTTTCAGTTCAGGTTACCCCAGTATGCCAGCGTGACATTACCACTGGGTTTTGTTGGGACGTGGAGCCATGACAGCAGGTTCTCAGGTTGCTTTTGGATGCGCCCTGGGAAGAGGAGGGCAGAAAGAATTTGCAAAAACATAGAACGAATAAGTATGGCCTTAAAGTTCATCCATGCTGTAGGGCTCCTGGTAACCCCTTAAGGGTTAGGAGGGTGGCATACAACACTCTTCTCGCTTTCCTCCAAGAGCAAGGCTGTGGGCTCCATCGCTCTGTGTTCGCATGACATCCTCCCATGAAATTAGAGCAGCCAAAGAAGGTCATTACTGTACTGAAAGTGATGTTAATCCTCGCATGTGTAGGACATAAGCAGTTGCTAGGGGAGCCTTAGAGTTGGAAACAATCTGCTATTTCTTATTTATTATCTGTTTCATCGCCTGCCAGGGCAGAATCATTCCCTATTGTGTTGTCTCGAGCCCTTCTCCTCCCTGCTTTTGAATACGTTAAGCAACAGGACTCTTGCCATTTCCCTTGTGTGCCGTTCCCGCGTCAGCTGACCCTGCGCTTGGTCCTTCGTGGTTGAAATTTGAACTCGAATAGCTGACCCTTGCTCTTTTGCCTGACACACAGGGTGAAGCAGGGGACATCGGCCCCAGGGTAAGTAGTGACACGGCACGTTGATGTACTCTAAAATCTGGTTGGGTTTGGTCAGCACATAAAATGAGGCTTCACGCAGCCTTGTCGCTGCAAACTGAGGTGTGGTAACAGTTCTGGAAATGTTTAATTTTGCCATTGGAGCATTTTATGGGGCTGGTTTTCCTAGCTTTGACTGTGGGAAAACAAGAGTTGGAGACCTTGAGGTACCACATGAAGGATTTTGGTTTTACTGGGCTTTTCTACCCCCAATTCCCTCTTCTAGTGTCAGAGACAGGCTCTGTGTTTCTTTTGAAGCTGTGCTGCTTCTCTGTTGGCATTAGGGCACCAGTACACAGTGGTAAGACCTGGTGTCCCAAGGAAGGGCCTGGCACAGTGTTGTGCAGGATGGAAAGTTCCTCCTCTCTGGCTGAGCTACCCGCTCGGGAGCATAGGCTGCCTTTGATGGAAAATCAAGGGTTTAAAGTAACTGCATGATGAAGGAAAACCATTTTGGTGATGGCAGTAGTAACACGAAGTCTCCCGTGTTGGGGATGAGACAGGAAGGCTCACCACGAGGTCTGTGGTATTTCAGAGGTGGGCTCCGTTGCGGTAACGGAGGTGTGGTTTGCCATGGGTTACGGGCACTTGCTGGAAACCCCATGGTGGGGATGTGCTGGGATGTTGGCATATGGGCCGCGTGCAGAGGCTGGGTTTGGAGCTGGCACCCAAGAGTTGGCTGGTAGGTTTAGATGTCATTGCTGGAAACGTAGCCAAGACCTCAGTGGTCAATGTCACACAGAGATGCCTCAGAGTAATTTTTTCTTTTTTTCCCTAGAGACTGTTAAGTCACTTTTTGAAGTTGGTGTCATTTTCTGAAACAGCTTCCAGCCATCTTGGGTGCCTTTGGAGATGTCACCCTTGGGCTCTGAAAATTTCTCCAATAGATTTACGCCCTGCATGGCTGAGGGAGGGGCTCGGCATAAGGTCTCAACCTTGTCCAAGTGCCCACCCACATCCTCAGAAAAGGCTTTAAGAGGTGATTCCGTGGCACGTGGGTGTGAGTTTTCACTCCTTGGCTGGGGCTGTGGGTGACTTCGGGGCTGGTGACTCGGGCGATGCCGGAGGAGATGCTCAGGCTCCAAAGCCCTGTTGGTCTGCGCTGTCAGATAACGCGGGAACGCGGCTCCTGTTTGCGCTGCAGGAGATGCTCTGGACTCGCAGGGGCAGGTGCGAGCACCCAAGGTAACGCTTGGCCTCTGTTTTAATGTACCGATAAAAAAATTTGTGCTTTTTTTGGTCCTGACCTGCATTTGTCCAGATTTTGCTTTACTTTTAGGTTTATTTATGTCTTTTTGCACAAGAGTAAGAAAACGGCTCAGAAACAATCTGGGAGGAAAGGGGGACAAACAAGGCTGGCAGAGCCATGCACAAGTAGGTCTAACAACTGGTGCCTGGCTTTGAAAATAGCTTCCTTTATGTCTCCAGATGCTCGGGGTTGTGGGCTGGATACGAAACTTCTTCATACCATCTGGCCCAGATTATTTTTTATTTCTTAATTTAATCTATCGTCTTCCTCTAGTTTCAGTAGTGGCTTTGTTTAGCTGATTTTGAAAGATGTGTCACAGCAAGTCATCGCATCAATGGGAGGATAAATAACTAGGAATACATCCACTGCTGCCTGCCTCGTAAATGCATGTGTCTATGGGAGGTGAAGTGAGGATTGTGTGTGTCAGTGAAGGCAAAAATATTATCATTAGGAATGATAGATTAAAAGAGAATAATTCTTGGGGCGACTGTCTGCTGTGGAAGTGAGGTGAAGGCAATGAGGGATTAGTTACTGAATATCTTCATGTCTGCACTGCTTCTCTTTCTGTCTCTAATAAACACCTGCCAGCATGGACAAAAAAGAGATTATTGCACATGTGAGCGTGCCCAGCGCAGATGCTGGAGGATGTATCTGGGGAGCTGAGGAAGGACTTCACATCGTGTTGTCTTAGGCACTGAACACAGTGCTTGGAACGGCATCACGGAGGCTGTTGCGCAGCCTCATCTAACCAGGGTGGAGAACAAATGTGCTCAAATACACTGACAAAATGCGTGTAAGCGTATTTATAGGGAGAAACGAAGAGTAGATTCCCTCTGCTCTGGGAAGGAAAGAGGGAGTCGAAGCAGGATGCTGCCAAGGCTGGGACTGCTGTGCCCTGATATTTCTGCTTGTACACTTCTCTTAACATCAAACATATCGCTACACCTCTGAAGAGGACTGTTTTTATAAGCCAGACTCGCTCCCTGAGCCGGCACTGGGATGACCGCTCTGGATTTACTGCCTTAGCTTGGGCGATCTTGTTCTTACTGGCAGTTCAGACATTTAGACAGAGGATGGGATTGATGAATTTTTGCATATCTGGGCTAGCGGATGCCCAGGGCATGCGGCAGCAGCGCTGGGTTTGCTCTCGAGAGGGGGAAAATGGGCTTCAGGTTGTGAGAGAAGTGCTCTTGTCTCCAGTGGCCAACGCATCGTGGTCCTGCTCAACGGCCGGTGGGGATGGCACCAGCAACGCCTGCACCTGTATCCTCAGCTGCTGTGGGACTGAAAGCTGGCGTGGCTGAGCTGGCCCTACAGCAACCGGCCGGAGTTTCGGCTGCAGACTGAAAAGTAGCTTTTTTCTCTCTTACTTTAAGCACAAAGAGCTTGCTAAGCTCATGTTGCAGATAAAAGCTCAGCATGGAAAGCATGCTGCAGAGCTGACAGTCACAGTCAACAGACACACCGATGGATGCTTCTTTTTTATCTTATTTATTTGCTTATTTTGGAACATTACATTGAAATGGCTAAATCAAGCACTCTAAAGCTGGAAATTGCCAGCATTCAAGGCTTCTGTGCTCTGTGACTCCATTGCTACACAGGGTCAGTCCCAGCGGCCAGTGCCCCGTGACCAGATGCATCAGGAAGGTGTAAATACGGAGCAGGAAAGTGTAACTCCATCACACTCAACTGCTCTCCTGGAGCCTGGCTGTCTATGGCCTGGAGGTTTCTTGGGCCAGAGGTGATGTCTCTGTATTTAATAGCCCTCGGGGCTGTTCACCTTCATGGCCCCATCTGTAACAGGGATTGCTTAAAATAAAATGTGCAACAGCTGGATTTGGTGGGATACAGTGTGCTTGGCTTCCAAGCAGATGCAAATTGTCATTTCACATGGAAAGAGATAGGGTTGGGCTTGGGAGGTGTTTATTTGGATGGTGCTCAGCAACCTGAAGGGATGAGAAAAGTTTCTGTTCCTGTCTTGCTCCTTGGACTCTTCTGAAAATCTCACTTAATGCTCTTATGTATCTTCACGCATGTAAGAAGCCATAAAACTTGGTCCTTGGGTCTACCACGAACCCTTTGCTCGCAGCAGAGCCTTTTTGGTGGTTTCTGTAGTATCTGGAGGGCCTGGCTGAGCACAAGGGCTCTGTGTCCCCATTAATTTCAATGCGGCATCGTCTTGGCTTTTGAAAACCTCAGGATTTCAGCATTGTTCCTCATCAAAATGGCTGTATAAGTGAGGGCTGAGCTAAGGCCTTTCTCTACAGCTTCAAAAAAAAATCCTTTGGGGGTTTATTTTCCAGGGTTGCTTAGTTTTTTCTATCCAGCTTTGCTTTTCCCCGCCCTTTCTGAGATGTCTGTGTTAAAACAGTGGTGGTTGATGTGCCTGTGCACACCTGGTGGGCTGGCCTACGCAATATTGACCCCACAATTGAGGTTTGGGGTTATCGGTTATTCGTGCAAAAGGTTTAAAAGCTCTGGGCAATTTGGACAAGGAGGTTAGTTCCTTAGAAACCTTCCAAAATCCTCATGGAGGATGCGCTGCGTGTTCCCACGAGGCTTCTCGTGGCTTCGCTCCATCCCTTTGGTCCTCCTATGGATCTGCACGGGGAGGGGTGGGGGAAAGGAAATGTCTTACTACAGACAAATGGAAAGGCTACAAGACAATAGCAATGACTACTGACATGGGCTGAATACATTGTTTTTGCATCATATAAATCCGAGAGATTTATCTGCATTTTGCAGGCTGGGGAATACATCAGTATTCATTTTAGCCTCTGAAAAAAAAAATATAATATTTGGTCTCGGGAGAAATGCTGGGCTATATCCCTGGTGCGGTTTGCTGGAATAATGCTTTTTATTCTGCAGAAAGCCCTGCAGTAGGGGAATCCTCTGTACCCCAGCTGCTCTGAGTGTCCTATTGTGCAGTAAACTAATGAAAAGATACTTGTTTCCCTAGGTCTGTCTGCTGCTTACCAAGCCCCAGCGTATCCAGAACCTTAAAACAACCGCTGTTGGCTGCCTAGACTATTTCCTCCTCATGCATCAATTAATTATGAAAGAAAAGTTGTTGTCTGTTGTTACAGCTTTTTAAACTCATTCTTCTGCTGTGTTTTCATCTTAAATTCTTGCTCTTTCTTCCTCTGCCTCCCACTTTACCTGGCTAGATGGTTTTTCCCCGGCTCAATCACGGATTTCTGGCTAACGATCAGCTTGTCTTTAGCCGGCGAGTGCTCAAGGTAGTTGTGTCAGATCTGCTGCTGCTGGTTTGCTGTGGTTCTTGGAGTTGCTTTTGTTTCTTCTTTCCGGCTGACAGCGCACCATTGCTATTTTAAGTTGTCGCTACCGTGGCGAAGTTCAGAGGTGCTTGCTGGGAGTGCGCTGGAGTGAAACCCCATTGGAATTTAGGGGGAGTTTTGTCAAAGTAGAGAGACATAAAAGTGGTGGGTTTGAGCATTTGGTCCTTTGTGAGAACTGGGAATCAAGCAGCAAAGTCCTATAAATGTTGATGTGAACAGTGCTGGTATTGTAAAATAAAATGCATTAAAAATACATTAAAATGCAAATGGATTGTCTAAATCCTCGTATTCTAAAAGTGACGTTTTAATTAGGGAAAATTCAGTGGGAGACTCTTGACTCAACATAATTGGATGCATTGTTCAGCATTTGCAATAGGATTTTTTAAAAAACTATGCAAGTGATTTAGGAGCACAGATCTTGTTGAAAGGCCGTGGGATTTGTGCTGCTAAGTCACTTAAGGACTTCTGAAAATCCCACACTCGCCCCTGATTTGAGGGTGGACCACATATTAAATACAATCCTCACACTGCCGCGGTGGTAACCCTTCCAGATGTTGCGAAAAGATTTACGAGACGGCCTTTCCGTGAGGCAGTGGCCGGCGGTGGGTCGGGAGCCGGTAACTGGGCGGTGGAGCCCCACGGGTGCTCTCCCCTCCGGAACGGGCACCTACCAAACCTTCACTGTCCCATGGAGGTACAGCTGCTGCTTTCTTCTTTGCATCCAAGCAATGCCGGGTGTGAGCTACACTGGTTGTTAATGTACGACCTTGACTGTGTTTAATGGATACTACTAAGCTCTACTTCTCTTTTTCTTTTTTTTTTATTTTGTGGTTTTTCTGGTGTGGTGCTATGGAAGTGTGTGCGTGGTCCATGCCAGCATGTTGTTGGGTCTGGGTTCTTTCTGGGTGCTGTTGAACTAGTGTCTTCCATACAGACAGTCCCTGGATAAGGACTTAATGAGATAAAACCTCGTTGGAAGGCATTGAGCAAAACCCTGGTTAAGGGACCAGACCCAAAGGGCATGAAGCGGCCATGAGCTCCCAGCCTTCCCAACTGGCAGGTGTAATTAAATTCCTCCGGGATGGCGAGGCCAGGGTGCTGATGGCCCAGGGATGCAGTGCATGCGTCGTGGGCACCTTGTGCCCACTGCTTACCAACGCCGCTTCATCTCACCATGTCTGTGTGAACTTCTTCCAGGGTGATCAAGGTCGAGATGGAGCCACTGGCCCCCCTGGTCCACCAGGACCCCCAGGTGCCCGGGGGCCTCCTGGTGACACAGGAAAAGATGGCCCACGAGGACCTTCAGGCCCCCCTGTAAGGACGGGAGATGCACAGCAAGCACACGCCGGGCAGTGCCCACCCCAGCGAGGGAGAGGAGGGTGAAGGGTGTCCCCTTCCCTGGTGCTGCCACCCCAACCGCTGGGTCCTCAGCCTGAGGCAGCGCCGGGCTCTGATGGCTGCTCATACAGCAAAGCTTTGGGGTGTGGGGCCAAGGGAGAAGGAGGGAACCTTCCATCTTCGGTTTTGGAGCAAAGAGCTGGACCTGGAGCGTGTATTTGTGAGTGCTGGTCGTAACTCCGAGAGCCTGGAGGAGATCTGTTCCCTGATCTGTAGCCTTCAGGTGACCTGTTGCAAATCTCCAGATCACTGGCAATTCATTTAATTAAAAAATAGGCTGCAACACAATGCTACCGAGCGTCCTAATGATCGCTGAGCATTTTGGAGAATGAGGGATAATAGTTTCAATGTCAGTGTTTTTATTTTCACAGGGTTTCAAAGGCGAGCCGGGAGAGGACGGCCTCATGGTTAGTATTGCCCAGCAGCACCCATGTGTGCGTCCCCCTCGCTTCAGATCACCCTTTAGCACCCTGCAGCAAAGGGTTTTGTGTCAGCACTTATGGGAAAACCCGTGGGAGGTTGTAGGTGCCCTAAAGCGGATGTTTGTCCAGAGGTACCTGTGCCAGTGGGGAGACAAGACACCAGTCTTCGTCCCCTTGGCTCCTCTGGAGGGATGTGCTGCTCCTGTATCCCCGCTTCTGCCCCGCTGAAGCCTCTTGGCATTGTAACTCCAACTCATTGAGGTCTAGGTTGGATAAAAAGGTGCTTACTATACATAAAATACACAAGCCATAAAAGAATATTTATTATTTACTGGGAGCGCACGTAGGGCTGTATTTGTAAGGGAAGATGAGAAATTGGCATCTGTGTAATTTTTTTTTTTCCATGGGAATTAAAATACCCTTGGAAATGTTTTTATCCTGTTAAACTCTATTGTCAAACAAATATACCAACTACTCTTGCATTCAACAGGGTGCCAGGGGACCTCCAGGACCAAAGGTGGGCGATAAATAATTTCTTATCTGTTTAACACAAATTCTTGAAATATTGCTGCGTGGGGGGGGATAAACATCTGTGTTTTACACTGGACTCGCACTCATCTGTGTTTATCGGGTACAGAATTTCTAAGGTATCGTGTTAGCCATTGACTTGGAGCTGCAAATGTCTGAAAGTGTCACCTACACAAAAAGCACAAACGCTGCCCATGTTAAAACCTTGGCATGGGGTGGAGGGAGCCACGGGGGGCTGGAAGCTGGTGTGCTGTGGGAATGTGCGTGGTTGCATTTTGGGGGGGATAAAGATGATCAATACAAGCCAAGTATTTCAATTTTACAATTAATTTGGACTGTCCATACAATTGGTCTTATTTTCTGCTATGTCTCTCAACTTCTTTCTCTTCTGTGTTTGTGGCTGTTGAAGGGTGAGCCTGGCATCGAAGGGAAAAAGGAAAAACAGTGATTTTTTTTCCTTTGCTTTGCTCTGAGCCCTTCTTTGTGTTCCCTGGGGTTTCTTGCCCACGCGACCCCGAAGCATGGGCACGGCCGTGCCTTCAGCCTGGTTGTCATTACCACAGGCAAGCCAGAAGCTGCACTCACATCTGCCCAATAGACCAAGAATAAAGTAGCAAATGCCAAGCAAAGCAGCAGGTTCTGAGCCCTTTTGCTCCAATCATTCAAGCTGAAGCGGGAGGCGCCTGGGGGCTGTTACCTGCCCAGGGGCCCCTGAGATGGGTTTGAGGTTCCTGGGACGGGCATCGCCGCACAGCACCTCGGGCTCGTGGGGATCGCCCGCTCTCCTGAGGACAGGCACACTGCTTGGGTCGGGCGTTGAAGTCTGCGGGAGATTCACGTGTCCGAGCTCTCCGTGTTTGCTTCTGGTGGTGCCGTCAAATGGTGGATAAATCACTGCCTTCAGCTGCAGCCAAGGCACTGGCAGGGTTCAGCCTTTGCTTCTTACCTCTTTGCCCCAAAACAGACATGGCCATGGGTGTTTGTCAGGCTGGAATTTGGCTTAAAAAAAAAATTTCATAACTGGCCAGTAAAATTAACCTCTTCAGCACCTACAAAGTGATTTTACTCAAGGAGAAAAATGAAGCATGATGAGTGAAACAAGAAAATCTCCTCCTGGCAGATGGGAGTGCTGGTGGCTTGTGATGAAGCCCATGAGGATGGGTGGCAGCTTGCAGGAGGTCTTTGGGACCCAAATAGCTAAACGGATTAAATACTGAATTTCTGTTAAAGGTGGGAGAGCACCTTCCCCAGGGCCTGCAAGAAGCAAGTTGTGGGAGATTCCCATCCACCTGCCCGGGAGCAGGGCAGGCAAAGGAGGCAGAGGCAGCACTGGCTGGGAGCAGGGGACCACACTGGAGCCTCCTGGGCTCCTTGCTGCAGCTTTCCCCTGGCCTCCTGCAAACCTGAGTGGCTCTCAGGTCTGTGTAACACTCAGTGGGGTTAAACAATGTGTTGGATCCTAATGATAACTGCATACAAGCTCTTTGTGTTTCACTTTTTATATTTTATTTCATCAGGGTGACAACGGGATCCCTGGGGAACCAGGGCTTATGGGCCCTAAGGTATGTTCTGCTCTGTGTCCATCTAATGTGTGTGCTTGGCAGCATCTATTTTTCTCTGTCTCTTGCTGTCTGCTTTCTTGGCACAGCACCACAACTGGAGCAGGGTGAGAAGCGCATTTCTCCTCTGACATGGAAAAAGAACCAAAAAAGTGAGAAAGGGAAGCGTAAACCCCCTCCCCACCACGGCAGCTCTGCCCAGAAGAAGTCTGCAAATGCAACTTGTTGCTGTGGCAGAGCGTTGCCATTTAGAGGCTCCTCTCGCAGGAGTAGACTGGGGAGCGTTGCCGGGGACGGCCCGGAGCTGGCATTTGGGATTTGGGTTTGCGGTGCCCAGATCAGGGTGCGGCGGGGTCTCTGCGGGAGCCACCTCCCGCCTTTTTGCCCCCCCCCAGCCGCTGTGGTTTTGGGGCTAACTTCATGGCTGAACATACCACCCACAGCCAAACTGTTAAGCCTGAAATCTTCATTTTTATCTCAAAAACTCCCCTTTTGCACCTAGGCAACGCAGCGTATGTCAGGCTAAAAGCAGAGCTTTGCTCACTCATGTTTGTAAAAGGAAAGATAAAGCAAGAAAATTATAACCTGAAGAAATCTATTCTCCATCCTACCCGTATGGCATTTGTGGGAATTGTCTTGTTTTCAGGGAGAAAAAGGAAGCGCAGGTCCCAAGGGAGAGAACGGCACAGATGGCTTGCCAGGAGCCAAGGTAAATAGAAGTCCATTAGCCGGGAAGCTGGGCCCAGAAACCGAGGCCGAGGGTTTCAGCCGAGAAGGCGTTTTACGCATTTGCCTTCCAAAAGGCTCATAAAATGCCCAAAGTGAAACGAAGCAGGGGGACGTTAAGAAGTCTTTTACCTTTTCCTGGTGATTTAATGAAAGCTGGATTCAAGCAGAGATCAGTATCAGAGTTTTTAAAATCATCTCCTTGCATGTTTTTCATTGAGTTGCCTCTTTTTCCCAAGAGAGCTAACCCTCTGGCCACATTTGATCCGATGTATCGCTGGCTGCGGCATCGCTTCACAGCCCGGAGCGCTTGCGTGCCGTCCTGGTCCGCCGACCTTCAGAATGCCAGGGAACGCAGTCAGGCAGTCTCGATACGTTAAGTGGTGATGACGAGACCCCGACGGCATTCGTGGGCCGCTATTTCCCCCCTCAGCTGCTTCTCATTTCGTAGGATCTGTATCCAGTCGTGTTTTCTGTATCGAACAGCCGTGGCTCCTTGTTGGGCAAGAAACGGCGTATCATGGACAACTGTGGGTTTGTTCCCCCTGGGATCTGCTGAGTGGAGTTTTTCCCGATGGAGAGTCTTTGCGTTTATACCATTTTTTATTTTTTGGAGGGCTTTAATTTGGCCAGCAAATGGATTTTGATGGGTACAGTGAAAGGTGTATTTTTCGAACCCTGAACTGAATTTCAGGCCATTGCTGTGGGAGTGCTATAGCTTTCCAAAACTTAACTTTCAAAAAAAAGAAGGGGGGAAAAGGGAAAAGAAAAAAAAAATGGGAGGGAGGGGGAAAAGAAAAATTTGGCACAGCCTGTTTTCTTAAACTCACCCTCGAAAATGGTTTAAACATGTCCGCTGAACCTTTCCACATGCGAAATTCAGCCTAAAGCAAAGCGAGAGCCATGCGAAACTCCAGCAGAAAGCGCCGGCGCTTGGCACGCTCGGAGCAGCGAGCGGGGCCGGGGAGCGGCACGGCCCGTCGCCGTTACGGGGAGCTCAGCCCCATGCGGGCTGCTCTGCTCCCCCTGTGACGAGACCATTTCTTGCCGTCAACTAGCTTGCACTGATGTTATTCTTTGCAAAACGTAATTGCTCTGAAGTCAAATCCGTCTTTTTGCTAGAAGCAGCAGCTCCTTGTTGGTGCCATACTTTTTCTTAATCTAAAACACATCTTGGCATCTCATGCAGTTGCAGTATTTTTACTATAAATATCCTATCTTTTCCTTGGTCTCTTAGAACAAAAAATGTGATTTTGATTTTCAGGGCGAACCTGGTGAGAAGGGAGGAATCGGCTCCATCGGACCCCGGGTATGGATGGTTCAGGGTTTTGCTTTTTTAATTTGGAGTCACGTATTTGCCTCGACCCAAGCCGTTCCCCATCACCTTTTTCTGCTTAGTATGTGGCTGAATCACTTCAGGGCGAGTTCAGTGCTAGAAAATAGAGCTGGTGCATATCTAAACAAAATATTACGTAGGTACCAGACGCTGCTGTGGGAGATAGCTCTGGGAAGTGCAGTTAAGTCCCATTTTCTTATCAGCGTGACCACCCCGTGACCCTTTTTTTGCAAGAGGGAAGCTGTGAATAGGGGTAACTAAGTAAGGATTTTGATGCACTTTTCAGTTGCGCAAACCTATGCTCGTTTGAGGTTTGGTTGGGTGACAGTTACAGCTGTCAGACCAGGAACTGGTTAAACCGATGGAGTTTGTAAGGTGATAATCCTCCCAAACACCTGGGTGTCAGGTCCTGGCTGTCAGACCACCCGCTTCTCAGGTGCTGGAAAAACTAAACAGGATTTGTCCCTGGTTGCAGGGTCCCCCCGGCCTGAAAGGGGAACAGGGTGACACCGTTGTGATCGACTACGATGGCCGAATCCTGGATGCGCTCAAGGTGAGCCCTGCACCACGGCTGGGTTAATGGGAAGGGGCTGAAAAGCTGCTGAGCTGTGGCACGGTGACGTTGTGGCACCGTGTCTGTCCCTGTCCTGCTTCTCCTTCCCGAGATCTCAGTCTCAGCACAGAGCTGGCCGGGAGGGAAGGGCTCATTGCCTCTGAGGGCTGAGGATATTTAGGATGTACCAGTAAAAACAGCAGCAAAACTCGAGGCTGGGAACTCAGGCCAGGTACCAGGCTCGCGGGATGAGGATGTGGGATGTGAGTTCATATTCTGCAGGTAACAGCAACCCAGTGCAGCCCGTGGCATAGAAAGAGCTGATGCAACGAGTGTGATCAGCCAAAATACAGCTTAAACGCTGCGGGCTCTGCGGGGTGTTATTCCCACGGCGTGGTGTGGAGCTGCGGGTTTCACCTCTGCAGCGGTCGGGATGCGGAAGGGAAACGGTGCCCGAGCCCTAACCTGCCCGACCGAGCAGCGCCCTGCCATTTTCATGCAAATGAAAGAAGCCGAACAGAATAAATGTTTAATTACAGACGTATTTGAGAACCATCCTAATTGTTTTGTAACAGGCTGCAGGGATACACAAAGTGCTGGTAATTACCGTTTGCCTGCATGGCATGCAGCTTTGCGAGCGGAGTTGGTGGAGCGCAGTGGTTGGAGAGGCTCCATCAAATGTCTGGAGACTTCATCTGCCGGGCCCAGACCCTCTCCCGTGTGCTGCATGTGGAGATTGCCGAGGGGCACATAGTGAACCTTGCTAACTTTGCCATTTTCCTGCTTGTGAGCTGGTTTTGGTGTTTGCTCACTGACCTGCCTCGTGGACGGAGCTTTGGCACGGGGTGGCTTCACACGGCTCCCGGTGTGATGGAACGTAACGGTGTTTGAGTGTGCGGTTACGGAAGAAGGTGCTGGGGGATGTGATAATGGTTTGGTTTTTCAGGTGAGCGAGACCATGAGCTTTGCTGTTTGAGATAATTTGCAAGCTGCAAAATGTTTGTTCATCTCGAGGCGGTTGATGGTCTCAGCACCCAGCAGTGCCCAGGAAAAAAGGCTTATGGAAGTGTGCAAGGTTTTCCTGCTGTTAGTGCTCACACGAACTCCTCCATTTCACCTCTTTAACTACGCTTCCCCAGCCGGTTATCG